CCCCTGCGGATATAACCCCAAATACACCCAAAACACTTCATCTTCCCCAACACTCTCCAAAAATTCGAACCCCCTCTCCCCCAAACTCCATTTTCAACCTTTCTCTCTACCATAACTCTCTCAATTCTCCACCAAATCAACCCATTCCACCACCAAAATACTCCCTTCACTCTCCTCTCCATATCTATACCCAAAAATCCCATTTTCCCCAAACTTCCACCAAATCCAAAAAAAAAACCCTACCCCATTCGAATTTGAGCTCCAAAGCTTCAACAATGGCTCCAAGGAAGCAAAGGGGAGAAAGTTCAAACTCCATGGCACCTATTCCCGGCTTTGAGGACATAATTCCCGCCGATAACGAACACCGGGCTAGACTCCTCTCCACTACTAAAAGGCAAGTAAAACCTTCCCGTTTCCTATGCCATAATGCTCTCCATGAATTGGGTGTTTATAAGAGTATGAAAAAATTCTTTTATGAGTTGAGTATGGATCGTATCTTCAAAATGAAATACAATTCGAATGAAAGAATTGTATATGAATTCATGAGCTCGGTGCAATTTGAGAGTGATGAGGATGATTTTAGGGATGACAAACTCAAGTTTCGTTTGTTCAATCGAAATTATTCTATTACAAAACTTGAGTTTGCCGAACACTTTGGCATCCCCGTGCCCTACGAGAGAGCTATCTCGGATACCACCATTTTTGGGCACTCCCTATGGACAAAGATGACCGGGGAAGTGAAATTTAGTTCATCCCAAATGTACATTAGTCATGTCCAACACCCCGTTCTCCGGTTGTTCTTGAAATTCTTAGCCAATTGCTTGCTTGGCCGTCCCAACAACCATCACACTCGAATCGGGGACGTGTGTTTAATGTCCGTGGCGTTATTCCGTCGTCACGTGGATTTTAATTTGTGCAATCTCATGTGGGCACATTTGAAGAAAGAAAGCGTAGCAAAAGGGGCCATAGTTGTGGGGGGAGTGATAATGCACTTGGCAAGTAAGTTCGGGTATACGGACAACTCTCCTATACCCGACTATTGCTTGATGGATATGGGTTGGCTAGGACGCTCGGGATGTACATCTTTCTCCCATACGGTGTATATTGGAGACCAACCCAAGAACATGTATAATTGGGTCATACACGTACAACCTAACCAATATTTCCTAATGCCAAACCCGGACACCCCCAAACTACGCTACAAACCGGAGTTCGAGGAGCCTCACTACCTATTCCCTCACGCCCTTCCACCACATTTCCAAGAACCCGACGCCCAACAACCCCCCGAAGATCAACATGACCAAGAACAAGAAGAGCACCAAGAACCCGAGGATGCACCTCACCCAATGCTCGAATACAACCAAGCCCCACCACCCCCCGATTACTTCCAACGATTACTTGATGGGTTCGAGAGAGTTACCAATGAAGTTGGTAAGTATCGGGAAGAACAAAGGGCGGGATTTCAAAGAATAGAAGAGAAAAGGGCCGAAGACAACCGACGGTATGAAGAGGATCAACGTAGGTTCTATGGACCTATGTACTCTTACATGGCTCATCAAGGCCAATTCCACACCATGTCTCAACCACCACCACCCCCCTCTTGGTATGACCCCACTCAATGGGGTAATTTTGGAGGATCTAGCTCCGGGGGTGGAGGTTTTGATGGCGGGGATGACGGCGGCGACGCCCACATGGGCGATGGGAGCTATGGAGGAGGCTTTGGAGGCGGCTTCTACGGCGGAGAAGGCGGGCACTAGGGACCGTGCTTGATCTAGGTGTGGGGGAGGAGACTAATCATGGTATGTAATTTCATTTTCTACCCTTTACTACGCATGAATTTCTTTTACTCTTTGTACAAAAAAAAAAAAAAAAAAAAAAAAATGGATAAATAAAAGAATTGCAATGCTAGTTAGGTTGAAAACCCAAGAATGGGCAATCTAAGCAAAAATGGCTTATAAAAAAAATGAGTGAGTTTGGAAAGGATGGAAAAACAAAAAGAGATGCTAGGATGAAAACCTGAAAAGGCTCCTAGGCAAAATGAGAGATATGAGAGAAGTATTTGTTGTATGCAGGAACTCATTTGATCTCTTGAGGAGAAAGAGGAGAAAGCAAAGAAGAAGAGGCAAGAAGATGGAGCATAGAAGATCATAAAACCCAAGAGAAAAATGTTGTGTGTAAAATCATTCTCTTATTTCTTGGTGGTCTTAGTTCCTTTCTTTCTTGAACTCATGGAATGATCTTAAACTGTTTTGAAACATTTGACTTTACTCGAGGACGAGTAAAGAACTAAGTGTGGGGGAGTTTGATACATGTGTAATTTCCATGTTTATGTTTGCATTTTTAGTTACTTTTTGTAGTTTAGCATTTTGGAAATTACACACTTTTGGTGTAATAGTTTAGTTGTTAAAATTCTTGTAAAAAGTTTAGATTAGGTTTATTTTGGGCTCAAACAGGTCTACAAGCACTCAAAGGATAGTTGGTGAACCCCAAAAGTGAACAGAAGGTACAAAAATCACAAGACAAAAAGAGAATCCTGATTTTGGTCTATACTCGGTCGAGTATATATATATACTCGATCGGGTATCTGGTTGACATTTCAAATCGGATCGGATCCGAAAACAAAGGAACATGCAGGAGAAGATTTTCCCACGATCCAGTGTCTATACCCGATCGGGTATACCTCTATACTCGATCGGGTGTAGCTATAAAAACTACCCGAGTATTGATCGAGTATAGAGCAAATTAGATGTTCTACACATACTCGATCGAGTATGTATACATACTCGATCGAGTACTCGACCTGCACCTCAAAAAGCCTATAAATACACCTCCTTTCCTTCACTTTTAGATCACCAATCCCCATATACTCTTAAGCTCAGTTTAGAATAGCATTTCTCTATATTTCTTTTAGCATGTTTAGTCTCCAAATGAGGAGCTAAACTTCCATTTCTTGGTTTTGCTCTTGAAGCTTGATTGATTATTAAAGTTGTGAGTTATTTTCTTACTTTCTCCTCTTGAATATTAATTCTTCCCTTAATCTCGTTCTATATCATTGTTGGAGGGTGGCTAAGTGACGATTAGTTAACGTTCCAACATTGATTATTACTAGAAACGTTCAATGAACCGATGGTTAAACGTTGAAGGTTTCACAAGTAAGTAACTTCGGTTTGTTAATGCACGGTCGTGGTTAATAAACTTAAGAGGGATCAATTTTGTTGGTTAAACCAAAACCGTTGCGTTGAGGTTATCAATCTCAATTGATTTCATCAAGGAGTTAAATAGATTGAATGCTACTATTATATCGGTATACGGCGTTGTTCTATATTTGATTAATAGTAAGGGTTATTAATGAACGGTCGTTGTTAATAACTACCCTCGATGAACTGGTTATACTCCGCGATTGAGTATTCGAGAGGGGATAAGTTATGGATATAACAATGATCGACTAAAATATATCAACAAGTGGAAAGTAGCAAGACCAAGTCCCTTTTATCTTTGAATTAAATCCCATATAAATCGTTCATCTTCGTGTTTAATTTAATTGAATCACTCAACAATCAAAACCCCCCCTTTTACTTACTATTTATATAAAAAGAAAGTTATTCCTTTCCCTGTGGATACGAACTCTACTACGCTATACTACGTATAAGTGTTGTATTGAAATTTATTTTGAGTGCACTCACGACAAAGTGCACGTCAGCCGCTGGAGCAAGAGCCGCCACATGAGCCAGAACCACTGCCCCTCACTGGCACAGCCTACCACCACCCTCGCCGGCGATGGCGCCGCCTGTTGCCGCCCTCGCCGCCTGCCGCCGCATCGTCGCCGCCCAACCGAAGTCGCCATCCGCCGCTGACGCCACCATCCTATTGCTGTCAATGCGGCCAATGTTAAATCTGGTGCCACCACTTCACCTCCGATTACCGCCGCCACCGTCACAACTCTAGCTTTGTCCACCGACGCCGTCACAACTGTAGCTCTGCAAATCTGTCATTAAGTTGGCAAATTTTTCCTTGAAGATTATATCTGCCATTAAATGGACATATTTTTCTTCCATTCACAAAAAACTGCCATAATATTGTCAAAAATATAAAATACCAACCAAATATTGAAATATATTTTTTGAATGGAATAGACACTCTAACACAATAAAAATCAAAATCACGAAGCTAGTGACAAAACTCAGAAAAGCAGATTTACAAAAAAATCGTTTCTTCCATAAACGACAGTCATTGTGCTTATTTTTGCCATATCCTTGGCAAAATTTTATTCCATCATCCAAAAATCTGGAAAATTGAAATTTATTAAAAATACAGAAATTTGAAACGGAAATGCGAAATAGAAGACCAATGATCAACAAATCGAATGTCAGAACAAGAAAAAAAAACAGAGGAATGGAAGAAAATTATAAAAATCAATTTCAAAAGCCAAAAAATAGAATAATAGGAGGAGGGAGGAGGATGAAGCAGAAGGAGTAGGAGGAGGAGAAGAAGAAGTAGAAGAAGAAGGAGAAGAAGAGGAAGAGGAAGAAGAAGAAACCTGACAAAACGGCGGTGTGCACCAAATCGTCGGCAACGTCGGCGGCTAAGGATGAGGTCGGCGATGAAATCGATCTAATATGCAGGGCATACCAAATCAATTGATCTGGTGAAAATTGAGAAGAGATCATAGTGCGAAAGGGAAGAAGAAACTGATCGATGTGTTACGCAGTGCGATGGAGAGCAGCAATTGACCGTGAATTAAATGTAATAGGGTTAAGAATGGAATTGAAAAGTCTGTATGTTTTAAATAGGAGTGATATGCTCCTATTTGGGGAAGAAAAAATAGATACTCCTATTTAAGAATTTCTCCTATGTTTTAATCCTATGTAAGGCAATTACTCAACATTTTTTCTTACTAAAGAATATTCCAGTACATCTCGAAAGTTGATGCAGGACACATCTTTACCGTAATGTTGTTTTGCCAAGTGTACTTTTGGTCTTTTGGATGAAGTCTTAAAACCGATGAACTGGAGTATTAATCTAGGAAAATTACCAAAATAGAAGTACACAATTCCAAAACAAGCCTGTCAAATTTGAAAAAATATTATCACGCATAAATTTTGATATAATCAAAACATGATACTCCGTTATAATTACTGTTATTTAGTACACACAAACACGATCCAAAGTGTGGCAAATCTAGCCCTTTATTCCTTTAATTGGCAGTGATGGCATCTTCAACAAACCGGGCTAGGGATGTGGAGGATGAGCCACCCTCGGCAAGTGCTTGTCTGCTCTTTTCACCCAATTCCTTGGCCTTGAACTGTACCGGATTGAGAGGATCCATAAGCTCCTTGATCCCCATTCCAATCTCCTCTGCCCCCACAACATCTGAAACCTTGTTGGAACTCAGCTTAATCTCTACTCCCACGCCTATCTCCTTCACTAATTGGAAGGCATTGGCTTCTTGTTCCGCCGCCTGCATCGGCCAAGTCGCCACCGGCTTTCCGAACCAGAGGCTCTCCAGAGCCGAGTTCCACCCGCAGTGCGAAACGAAGCCTCCCACGGCTCGGTGGGCCAGTATGGCGGTCTGGGGAGCCCACCCATTGACGACCATCCCCACCCCCGCCCCTACCGTCCTCTCCAAGAATCCTCCGGGAAGAAGCAGAGATCCCCGCCGGTCATCATCGCCCGCTGACCGGAATGCCCACAGGAACCTCTGCCCGCTACGCTCTAAACCGGCGGCGATCTCCTTCACCTGGTCCTCATCACCAGCGGTGAAACGAGCCATGCTTCCGAAGCAGAGGAACACAACCGAGCCGTCTTCCTGCCTCTCGAGCCATTTCATGATCTGGCGGCGAGATTCCTCCTCCTCCTCTGCTTCCGGGCCTTCCGGTGGCTGCAGATTTAGGATCGGGCCGATGGGGTAGATGGGTGCACAGCTTGATTCGTCATTGAGGGTCTTGAGCGCGTGTGATTCGAGCTCAGGAAACGTGTTGACCAGGACCCCTTTCGCCCCTCTGACCCGTTCGGAGATGCCGAGGAAAGCCTCCAAGGAATTCTTATTCAGAACAGAAGGCGGCAGACACTGTGCAGGAAACGGGTTTGCATAAGTAGGGATATTTAAGAAGGGGTGATTGAGATTGCGATCTTTGATGTTCTGGAGGAAGAAAACAAGCCCCAGCGCCGCCGCACCTGAGGGGAAGAACACATAGGCGGGTATCCCTAATTCATTCGCCACATCGATCATGACCGTACACAAAAGGTCAACGACAAAGACGAGTTTTCTGAGGGGACCCGAGGAACGGGTCCCGGAAACCCAGTCTCTGACTTGAGGTATGAAGGAGTCGATGGGCACCTTTTCTGCAGCCTGGGACGGCGGTGTGAGGGTTTCAAACTTCAATCTCCGGTGGTGGGAGTAATCATCATCAGCGGCCGCCGTTGTTTGAGATTGAATGTAATTGCTGGTTTGAGCATCGAGAGACGACTGTTGCTTCAATATGAGAATGGTGATGATAACATTAACCTGCTCCTTCTCGCCGCAGCCGTTTTGCTTGTTCATAACGCGCTTTGCCATTTCGACAGCTGATACTATGTGACCCATAGTATTCATCGGAATGAAGACTAGCTCCAATGCTTCTTCCATCTTCTTAATTTGGGTATCCGTGTATACACTCACTATAATTAAAGATTAGTACGGAGTATGAAATATGAATACGAATGGAGCTTAACAAGCTTATATTGATCGAGTTTCGATTTACAAAGCAGAGGTTTAGTGTCTGTCTATTTATATACGAAGTTTATACTACAAAAGGTGGAAAAGCTCACATGCCGTTGACATTGGCGTCTGGGTGCAAAAGGTGGCATACGTATTTGATACGTGAGTGCTGATCCATTCTAGACTTCTATTTTTTTCAGATTTGAAATTGGCGTCTAGCTGCAAAAGGTTTTGTGCAATTTCATATAAGCAAAAAGACATCCATCATTCCATCCTGATAGGCATGGCATCATCTCCGGCATTATGGTCGCCACATCTAGTATCGCCACCGGTGTAGAGCTGTGGATTCGAACGGCCAAGAGAGTTATGCATCGGATCAAGGTCGGCTAACTGCAACAGGTCTTGGAGATCGTCGATTCAGAGATGATTCAGCAAGGTGAAGAGAAAAAATAGAGCATAAATAATAGAGTCACCCAAGAGAAACCATTGATGTTCCTCAAGGAACCAAAATCACAGTGTAGAAACTAGGGCTGCACAAGAATAATCCGAACCCGCATAACCCGCCCGACCCAATCCTACCCGATCACTTTTAATCAGGTATTTGATTTTTGAAAATATTCACGGGTTAAATATGTACGAACCCGCACCTAACGGGTAGGGTTGCGGAATTAAAATCTCGAACCCGATAGTTCCCGACTGATAAGTCCGTATTTAGACACGCATTTGATGCGTGTCCGGGTCAGATTTTGATGATTTTCCTGGCTTTAAGGCGTTGCAAGTCTCAATTTTGGTTCAAGTTGTGTTTAACAGGCGTTGGATCGAGTTTCATTGCATTTGAAGTTGATTTGAAGAAGTTAGAGTCCGGCAATCGGCGCTTGAGAGGCATTCGGGAAGGATTTGAAGGCATTCGAGAAAGATTTGGAAGATTTGGAGGCCACCGGGAGATTCGTGACGAAATTCTGGTAAAGAAAGAGCATATGGATCGACCTCGTAGGCATCCGGGAGCATTCAGAGCAAGAAAACGAAGGAAAAGTGAAGAATTGGGTCAGGCACGGTCGTGCCTGGGGTTAGGCACGCCGTGCCTGAAGAGAAAATTTCCTGGAAGCTACTGGAGGCCAGGCACGGTCGTGCCTGGCAGTTAGGCACGCCGTGCCTGGACGCGAAATCCGACCTTCCTCCGTAGGCACGGTCGCAGGCACGGTCGTGCCTGGCACCGTGCCTGGCCGCAATTGATCCTAATTCGACCCGAATTCGTTGTTTTCTATAAATAAGGCCTCCATTACCCCGTTTTGGCGGTTACGAACATTACGGAGAGGCCTAGGGACGAATTTACTTGCGTTTTTACGATTGTTTACTCCAAGACCCTGGGATTATTTGTAAGTTCATCTTTTTGATTAATGACAATTTATTCTATTCATATCAATTCTGTTGATTCTTCAATTATGAATTGTGAGTAGTTTAATTAGGGATTTGGGATTGATGAAGGGGTTAATCATGATGTATGGCTAGATTCTTGTCGGTTTAATTGCATGAATGCCGTTTAATTTGTGTTTGAATAATTTAATTGATATCTCTTGTAACCTAGACTGCAGCTAGAATTACAATTGCATGTAGAATGAATTAAGAGAGATCTAATTTGTTCTAGGACACATTCACACACACTTAATCGTTCGCTAAGAGATTAGTAGCGATTAAGGGGCCGTAAGCTCGCTCGTCTTGGCAATAATTTAGGATCTTGTCGCATGAGAGATCAGCCTGGACTCCTAAACTATTGTACTCTACGCCGCGAGAGCGGTAAGAACTTAGTAATGATTAGCTAGGTTCAATTAAATTAAATTCATGTGATTAGACCTGTTCTGCCAGAAATCTGGTTAACCCCGGAATCAATTCCTGTTCCCTTCGTCGTTAATTGAGAAGAAACCACTTTTATTTTAATCGTTCATCTGCATTAGTTTAATTTTAATTCACCAATCAATCTCGCACACTTGCATTTCTTTATTTTTATTTCTTTTTAATCGCTAAAGTTTAGTTAATCTTTATTTCCCTTTTGTCCGTCCCTGTGGAGACGATACTCGTACTTACACCACTATTCTACAATCTTTTCAAGTGCGAGAAAACTCACATCAGTTTTTGGCGCCGTTGCCGGGGACGGTGTCGGATTTAAGGGTTAATTAATTTTAGCGACTTGTTTTTAGTTTTTCGTAGGATTTTTGTCTGCTAACCTTGCAGGTCAGATCTGTTTATGCATACACGTTCAAAGAAGGGAGAATCACTTGTCCCTCTTAATCCTGAGATTGAGAAGTTTGCTAGACAGAACCGCAAGGTTTTTCTTGAGAAGAACGCAACCATGGAACCTACATCATCTGGAATTGCTGGGACGTCTGAGGTCCAAACCACTTCTGGTAACCTTGATTTTTATGTCAATACCTCTCCCCAGTCTTCACCGCCTATATCACCTAGAAATTACTCGGGATTTCAGAATTCCCGCACACCATTTTTTCCTCAAAATCAGGCCACGCCCCAAATCAACATGACTCCGCTTTATCAACTCTTCCAAAATACCTCTACTGCTCCCGAAACCATTTTTCAAAATCAAACATACGGGATGCAAGGTATTGGGCAAAATAATCCACTCTTTCAGCCCAGACAGAACCAACCGTCAGTCACACAAAATCCACCCCTTACTCAGCCACAAAATCAGCCCTTCCAACCCCAATTTCAACAATATAATCAGCCCCAAGTTCAGCCCCGAGCACAGGCAAACATAGCCCGTCCACATCCTATAAGACCACAACCAGTTCATCAGCCGAGATATCAAGCTCCTCCATACCAAAACTATGTCCCACATAACAACCCGCTTTATCAAGGAGAGACCATTGCAGATTTCCTCACTCCGGACATCACAGAGTACGACAGCATCCAAGTGCAAGGAATTACTGCACCTCGCTATGAGATCAACCCAGCGGTGATCAACATGGTGTCCAATAATCAGTTTGGAGGGAGCCCTACAGAAGATCCAGTGGCACACATTACAAAATTCTTGAGGATGTGCCAAACCTTCAAGATCCCCGGGCTAGATGATGATCAGGTACTGATGTTATTGTTCCCTTTCTCATTAAGGGACGATGCGCAGAGGTGGTTGGATAGCAATCCACATCACCATATTCAGACATGGGATCAGTTGCACAAGTCCTTCATCAAGGAGTATTTTCCGACATCAAAGGCAATAAAGTTGAAGAGGCAGCTGCAGGATTTCAAGCAAGGTTCTTTGGAGACATTGGCTGAGGCATGGAAGAGATTCAAAGTGCTAAGAAGAGCTTGCCCTCAAGGCAAGATGACTGATAGTGAGATTCTATCTTGTTTCTACAGCGGAATCAGCGATGAAGGGAAGATGATGCTTGATGCTTCGGGTGGAGGAGCTTTTCCTCAGTTGCCATCTGAGGTAGCAGAAGAACTAGTGGAGAAGATAGTTTCTAATAATGCTTCATGGTATGGCTCTCGGGACACACCTCACAAGAAGGCCCCGGGATTGTACGAGATCAGTGATAATTCTGCCCTTTCTGCGAGGGTGGATGCTTTGACTAGCATGATTCAGAAGCTTGCTACTAGTGTGGAGGATAATCAAAAGAAGACGAATCTTGCTCTATCGGTGCCTAGTGTTAATATGGTAGCCCCCGGTCCTATTAGTCCCTCTTGTACCATTTGTGGGGGTCTCCATTCGCCTCATGAATGCACTATGATGACACACTTGGCAGCCCCTGGAGTAGAGCAAGTTGACGCGATGTATTACCAGCGACAGGGCTACCAAAATCAGCCCTACGGACAGCAGCAGCAAGGAAATTACGGGCAAGGAATTCAGCAGCAATCTAGGAACTATAATCAACATCAAGCATCTCAGCCAGTGCAAGAGAGTTTTCAGAGAGAAACAGAACAAAGATTTTCTGGAATAGAGGAAACACTCAAGAAGTTGCTGCAAATTCAGCAGCAACAAATGCAATCTCAACAACAAGCAGATTTGAGGATGCAGCAGGCTGACTCAAGGATGCAGAACATGGAGACTCAATTGGGGCAGATCTCAAGGGCTTTATCTGAGAGGCCTCTGGGATCCCTCCCTAGCAATACCGAGCCAAACCCAAGAGAACATGTTCATGCAGTCACCTTAAGGAGTGGAAAAGAATTAGAACCTGCTGCCACGACAAAGAAATCTGAGGAAGTTAATGACGTACCTGCTGCACAAGAGGAAGAAAAGGAGTTAGAAGAGGGACGAGAGGTGGCGGCTGCACCAAAACAGCCCGTTCCGGTTAAGAATTACACCCCACCTCTCCCCTATCCGGCACGATTGACAAGGAAGAATGATAGTGACCAGTTTGGTCATTTTCTGAAACTCATGAAACAAATCCAGCTTAACATACCATTCGTGGATGCACTGGCACAAATGCCGAAGTACGCAAAGTTCATGAAGGATCTACTGACAAACAAGAGGAAGCTGGAAGAAGCGTCCACTGTGAGGCTTAATGTGGACTGCTCAGCTGTGATTAGGAGGGATCTACCAGAGAAGCTTAAGGATCCAGGTTCTTTTACTATACCCTGCTTAATAGGAGATCTTTCTTTTGATAGGGCCTTGGCTGATTTGGGTGCAAGCATTAATTTGATGCCATTCACTTTGTACGAAAAGCTTGCACTCGGTCCACTTAAACCTACACGTATGTGCATTCAGTTGGCTGATCGTTCAGTCAAATATCCCATTGGGATTGTTGAAGACGTGTTGGTTAAAGTGGACACGTTTATTATTCCCGTAGACTTCGTTATTTTGGACATGAATCAGGATCGAGAGGTACCATTGATTTTGGGCAGACCATTCTTGGCAACTGCCCGAGCACTTATTGATGTTGGAGATGGTAAGCTTGTCCTCCGCGTTGGGGATGAGACTGCCACCTTTGATATGTCTAAAATAATGAAAAGGCCCTGTCAGGATAGTGGAGAGTGTTTTTATGTGGATGATATTGATTCTATGGTGGAGGATTGCACACCTAACATGCTTTCCAAGGAAGCCCCGTTTGATATTTTGTTGGAAGAGAGTATATCAGCAGAGGATCTTGAGCCCCTCCCTAGCTTTGATTGTCTTATGATAAGTGGAGGGGAGGATTCAAGTGATGCTAGTTCTGAGCGAGAAACGAGAGGTGATTTAAATGAGCGTGCTTTTATTCATGATAGACTTAACCTCCCTGTTAGTTTTGCATCCGGGCATGAGCCATCCCAAAATACAGAACATTTTCAATATCTTAGTGAACAAAAGGAAGCTCCGGCCCGGAAAGTTTTTGACATGAAAGGGAGTGATTCATTCTTAGACCCATTCTTTGCTAAGGGGCCTGATAAAGGCTTAGACTCATTATTTTGCTGTACAGGAAACCCTGAGATGTGCAATTGTTTTCATGAATTTAAGGTCTTACGCCATCTCAGGGCATTTGTTGATAGGAGGTTTGATTTGTGGAAGACTAATTTTCTTAGCGGAAGTGTCTTTGACTGAGTTTTTGAGTGCGTAGTTGCGTCGGGCAAACGACGTTAAAAATAGCGCTTCTCGGGAGGCAACCCGAGCTTAATTTGTGCTTTGTTAGTTTAGTTTTACTGCTTTTCAGAAAACCCACAAAAACCACCAAAAAAAAAAGGGTTGATTCGAAGCAGGCACGGTCGTGCCTACCTTCAGGCACGCCGTGCCTGAAGAGAAAAAAATCGATGGGAGGCTACTGGGAGCCAGGCACGGTCGTGCCTGGCAGCTAGGCACGCCGTGCCTGGCATGAATCGCGAACACAGCTACTGGGAGCCAGGCACGGTCGTGTCTGGCAGCTAGGCACGCCGTGCCTGGCTAAAATTACTATCCTACCCCCGCGATTTAACATTACCCAGCCCTTCTCCCCTCTTTTCTCTTACGCGAACACAGCCCCTAAGCATCGATCTCTCTCCTGCCTCGAAGCCGACGGACCACCGCGACCCGCCACCACCGTAGACCACCGCCGGCGACCACCACTACTCCGACCGAGCCCCTTCTTCTCCCCCCTCTCATCACTCAAGGTAACTCTCTTCTTCCTTCTTCTTCTTTTTCTCCATTAATGGAGGTTGTTTAAGCTTTGAAAAATCCGAAAATGCATGTACTCGAATCTTAGGGATTTTGATTTCCATGTGTCAATTGAGGCTTGTGTTATTGCTATTGATGTTCTATCATGATGAATTTGCCTCTTTTGTTTGAAATCCCTAATTTTTGAGCTAATTTAGCCAATTTAGGGTTGAAAGTTGTTGAATGTTTGAAAAATTGGGGATTTTGTGCTTGTTGCTTGAATTAAAGATTGAATTATTGATTGAAATAATGTGTACTTGTTATTAAGGCTATTTGAGCACAAACCCCCAATTTTTAGGCCAAACCATGTCAAATTTGAGAATTGTAAGTTCTTCCCCTATTTTGATTTTTTTTTATTATTTTAATTCTGTTGGGAAGAACTCTATTCTAAAAACATTGTTGAAATGAATGAAGCTTGCTTGTGACCTTGTTTATACCGTGTGTCGTTGAAAACTTGAATTTTATTCAAAGAACCTTTCTTTGATAAAAATTCAAAACTTTTCAACTATTCTGGTTAAACTTGGATTTTCTTTTGGCATATTTTGATGTTGGCGGATCATTGTTGCTAACGGGGCTATTCTTTTCTGTGCCTAATTCTAACCTCTTGAAGCCCCGTTGGAATTCTTGTGTTTTCACTATTTTTGCAGATGGCCCGCACAAAGAACTCTACACGCGCTTCTCACACCGCAGTTGCTAGCTCTAGCCGCTCACAGGGCACACGAGGCGGCCGCTACCAGCCCCAGTTTGACACAGAAAAGGAGATGCTGACATACCTAGAGCTGATGAAGAAGAAGGTGGGTACGATGTACCACCCAGATGAGCCCACACTGATGGCAGCAGAGCCCACATTAAGGGATGAGGTGATGCACTTGATCAGGAGAGGTTGGTGGCAGCATTTATTTTTCGGCATCCAAGAGCCGACTTTCAAGGAAGTCACGTGTGAGGTGTTAGCCACAATTGAGCTCCCAAAGCTCATACCGGAGAGGGACTATCTAAAAAGGGGAATAAGGTTCCAAGCATTTGAAGACAAGCTGGATACTTCGCTTAGTCAGATTGAGCGCTATTTGGGTTTTGATGATGTTGAGGTAGGACAACGAGACGAGGTTGGCCTTTGTGACCTCCCCCCGCATGTGAACAGACAGGCCTTTTGGGAATCGATTAGCAGAGGGGGCAAGACTTATAAGCCCCGAGAGACCCCAGCCACACTTCTTTATCCCCGGAAGTTCCGAGTTATTCACGCACTACTTGCTTCCACCGTGACCGGGAGGGCCGAGGTTGGGGCCAAGGTTTCTACCACTGACTTGTTATGCATCTACTGCATGGTTCATGACAAGAAGCCCTGCATGGGCTCTATCATAGCTAGCCTCTTCCATCGCCAATCCACAAACCACATTCAGGCCCTATATTCCGGTCCATACATTACACGTCTTCTGCGAGGAATGGACTATGGAGATCAGTTCCGCAACATGGAGGTTTCTTCTAGTTTTCTTCCGCTCACCATACTTCCGTCCATGAATACCGGACTTGGGGCTAGACTTCAGCGGGAGGCTGACCGCGCAGCAGCAGGAGGAGGAGGACAGCAGGTAGATGATGATGCTGATGATGATGACCATGATGACGATGATGATGATGTGGAGATGGAGGCAGCTTCTCACGAGGCCCCATACGATGCACCCCCCTACGGCACAGCTTTTCATGATTCTTGGGCGGGGATGCATGCGCATCAGGATGCCGTCTATCGTCAGTTGTCCGCTGAGCAGCATGAGCGGTTCGATCAGATGCGCTTCGAGCAGCAGGACTTCTACAGAGAGATGAGGGAGGACCAGGCACTCCACTATTCACAGCTCCAGTCTCAGTATACACGGATTGATGAGAGACTCACCTCCATGGAGACCAGCTGGAGTTCATTCTTCGATGCCTATCCACCGCCGCCCCCTCCTGAGTTTTAGATTTCATTAGATTGTCCTCTGCTAGCATCTGTATTATGATATTGTTGGATGACTGTACCGTAAACACTATCACACTCACACTCTCACTCTTTTACATTAACTCTTTATTTTGTTCTTTGCTTGGTGTTCATGATTTGTTGCAGCTTAGTGGATGAATGTGTTCGTGCGAATCAAGACCCAGTTCTGTTCCTGACCGACCAACGCGATAGGGGAGTTTCCATGATTCTTTGAACTTGATGCGTAATGTTAACTTGAGTTAAGTTGAGCATGCGTGACCCTATCCTCTTTACCCCCTAGTACATAATGCATATTTGGTCATCGAGGACGATGCCAAAGTTTAAGTGTGGGGGAGTGAATTGGGCATTCGGGCCGTGGTTGTTACATGAGATTTATTAGAGTTAGCATGCGCAGGTGTTAGTTGTATATTCATAGGAAATTCATGCAAAATTTTTGAAAATTATTCTTTAAACTGTGCCTTTGTGAGCTGGCTAGCGTTTTGACTATGCTTTTAGAACATCTTTGAAGTGTTTAGGCTTAAATTGCTTGCACTATAATCTAGTTGTTGAAAGGATGAAGGCATTAGTTACCCATTGAATTAATCCATTAATCATCCACCCTACCTACCCTTTAGGAGAAGCCATTTTGAGCCGACCATTCTTTGTTTACCCAATCAATTTAGCTCCATAGCCAAATGGCCTGCTTTCTTACCCGTGAATAGTTCTGACTTAGTCTTGATATTTAGGGAATTAAGGGATTAATTTGCTAAGTTTAGGGAATTTTGGGTAGGAGCCATTTTTGGCACTGTTCCTATGCCCCAAATGGGGTAAGAGCAGTCACTTTTTAGGAATATGATACTTTCGAGGATTGCATTGTAGGCATGGATTCACTTTGAAATTAATGAACCTAAATTGCTATTTTTCCTTGGTGAGGCCGAGATTAGAATGGGGTAATGTCTAGTGAGAATCCGAAAGGTGAAAAATTAATATAGCTAGACCTCTTACTTTGCGAAAAAGGGAATGGGAGCCCCGGTCAAAAAGCGTAAGATGAGACTTGGGTATCTTTCGAAAGAAACGGCGTTCTCGTGCCAACATGACAAGGAAAACTAAACTTAAAATTAATGAACTTGGAGGCTATCTAAAAATTTAGCTTTAGTCCTCCGCGTACTTCAAGTATACGTCAAAGCACAAAAGTGCCGAGACGGTTTAGCTTAGTTGTACACCATGTCTACTCTTTGCATAGGCGTAAATGATTGTTCCTAATTTGTGGCCTACTGAGTTCCCTATCCCCAAAAATAGCCCTGAAGTTCCGAAATACATTAAGTCTTTGATAGAATATTCCTACCTCTCAAGATAAAGGGACTACTTTCATTATTATCCATTCACCATCAAATTCACAAGTCCTTCTGATCAGTAGCTAGCTTATTAGTGAATGCTGTCATTACTTTGAGGATGTTGTGAATAATTGTGTCAAATAGTTTAGCCTGAGTACAAGGGTGTAGTTTAGGGAAGAATTTCTTGATTTAAACTGTCTGTCCTGTGAATATCCCTTTAACTACGTGTGTATGCTAACTGTTTTAAATTTCGTGTGGTGATTATCGTAAGTCCCGTTGTTCGATTTGCTTGAGGACAAGCAAAAGCTTAAGTGTGGGGGAGTCTGATAAGTCCGTATTTAGACACGCATTTGATGCGTGTCCGGGTCAGATTTTGATGATTTTCCTGGCTTTAAGGCGTTGCAAGTCTCAATTTTGGTTCAAGTTGTGTTTAACAGGCGTTGGATCGAGTTTCATTGCATTTGAAGTTGATTTGAAGAAGTTAGAGTCCGGCAATCGGCGCTTGAGAGGCATTCGGGAAGGATTTGAAGGCATTCGAGAAAGATTTGGAAGATTTGGAGGCCACCGGGAGATTCGTGACGAAATTCTGGTAAAGAAAGAGCATATGGATCGACCTCGTAGGCATCCGGGAGCATTCGGAGCAAGAAAACGAAGGAAAAGTGAAGAATTGGGTCAGGCACGGTCGTGCCTGGGGTTAGGCACGCCGTGCCTGAAGAGAAAATTTCCTGGAAGCTACTGGAGGCCAGGCACGGTCGTGCCTGGCAGTTAGGCACGCCGTGCCTGGACGCGAAATCCGACCTTCCTCCGTAGGCACGGTCGCAGGCACGGTCGTGCCTGGCACCGTGCCTGGCCACGATTGATCCTAATTCGACCCGAATTCGTTGTTTTCTATAAATAAGGCCTCCATTACCCCGTTTTGGCGGTTACGAACATTACGGAGAGGCCTAGGGACGAATTTACTTGCGTTTTTACGATTGTTTACTCCAAGACCCTGGGATTATTTGTAAGTTCATCTTTTTGATTAATGACAATTTATTCTATTCATATCAATTCTGTTGATTCTTCAATTATGAATTGTGAGTAGTTTAATTAGGGATTTGGGATTGATGAAGGGGTTAATCATGATGTATGGCTAGATTCTTGTCGGTTTAATTGCATGAATGCCGTTTAATTTGTGTTTGAATAATTTAATTGATATCTCTTGTAACCTAGACTGCAGCTAGAATTACAATTGCATGTAGAATGAATTAAGAGAGATCTAATTTGTTCTAGGACACATTCACACACACTTAATCGTTCGCTAAGAGATTAGTAGCGATTAAGGGGCCGTAAGCTCGCTCGTCTTGGCAATAATTTAGGATCTTGTCGCATGAGAGATCAGCCTGGACTCCTAAACTATTGTACTCTACGCCGCGAGAGCGGTAAGAACTTAGTAATGATTAGCTAGGTTCAATTAAATTAAATTCATGTGATTAGACCTGTTCTGCCAGAAATCTGGTTAACCCCGGAATCAATTCCTGTTCCCTTCGTCGTTAATTGAGAAGAAACCACTTTTATTTTAATCGTTCATCTGCATTAGTTTAATTTTAATTCACCAATCAATCTCGCACACTTGCATTTCTTTATTTTTATTTCTTTTTAATCGCTAAAGTTTAGTTAATCTTTATTTCCCTTTTGTCCGTCCCTGTGGAGACGATACTCGTACTTACACCACTATTCTACAATCTTTTCAAGTGCGAGAAAACTCACATCACCGACCCGGCCGAAATCTCAATATATTATTATCATGCTACAAAGTTTAGTTGGATAATATTTATATAAGACCACTGCGCTATATCTAAGACTATGATCTCTTAAAAAAAGACTATGATTTTAGTATTATAAACATTAACCGTTTTGACTAGGTGATTAGTATATATATACATTTGTTTCTAAATTAATTTCCTTTATGCAAGAGTGTTTTAATTTGATACTATTGCCCTAAGTTTACTCTTATAAAAGTACTTGTATTTGTTTGTGTATTTTGGAAACAAGTTAACCGAGATTCATGTTGCATGCATTAGTTGCTCATATTAAAGATTCAACCTGAAATAAACTCCTTTCAATACCTGACCCTACCTGACCCTACCTGACCCATTCATGCATGGTTTACTGACTTATATTTTATACCGCGGGTTGGTAAATAGTCAACCCGAATAAATTGGATATGCCCAAAAAATATACAAACCTGACCCAACCCGCCCGTTGTGCAACCCTAGTAGAAACCATGTTTACACATGATGGTTTATCGGCATAAAGTGAGGCGAGATGGAGTAGCCAAACAACATTGTCTCACTAAAACAAGGGTCAAATAAGTTTATCTACCCGTTCCCCTTGCAGTTGCTCGTAAGAGTAAATGATAATTTAGATATTTGACTTATTCTTATTTACTCTTTTTTTTTAATTATTATAAATGGTGGCGAATTGCAATTTGTGACTGTGAATAGAATTTACCATTATTTTATTGATCTCATCAATCAATTACTACATGCTCACACTGGTCCAAACTCCAAAACCTCTTAAATATTTACATTTAACGAATACAATCTTTCAATGTTCTTTGATGAGGCTGGTTTATATTGATCTTATGTGTTGATTTTTGAGGAGAAAGGTATCAGATTATTATAGAATTTGATCATACATCAAGAATTGCAGATTCTTCTCTGTCAATTGAATGTTTTGAACTAACCATACAAGAAAAATAAATATAAAGAACAAAAAGCAAAGACACTTCAATGCAAAGATTGGAGGGTAATAAAGAATGCAAAGGGTTGAACTCTGGAAGTGTTGGAACACACATGTCAGGGGACGAGAGATGACGCGTGTGTAAAGGAATTCATTCCACGTGTCGGGGAGTCCAGGTAAGCACCAATGTATGCAATCGGCATAGGTATCGGGGTCCACTTGTTCATCTGGAGTCAAAATTTTCCCTTGCCTAATGGTGTAGACTGAGGTGTGTGCATCTTTTCTATACTCGGACAGAGTAGTGATGTTGAGGAAGTGAACTAAGATTTTCATATTCTGAGTTATTTTTGATGCAATCTGAAATAGCATCTTATCAGTTCCCACATCCAAGTTCTTGGTTGCATTCAGAATTGGGCTGGTCTCCTTTGCACATTTTATCCCATTCGGATTTTTCCAATTAGAGCCCCTGTTGTTTCGTCCAACAATAACGAATTAATGACATTCATTTCCAAGAAAATAAAAAGGCACAAGCATGGTAAGGTAACTTTAGGGGTTAGTTTACTTTTTCTTTTCATTAAGTTCTGTCTGGATTAAGATATTATATGGATTAAGTGACACTGTGATAACGAACTGTTTACTTTCTGTACTGAATGTGAAGTCTGAATAATGTCAAATAACCAATTTACACTTTTGTAAAGAACAAGTCAAGAACAATAATCATGGATTCACTTTTCTTGTTCTGTAACTCATCTTTCAATGTTCTTTGATGAGGCTGGTTTATATTGATCTTATGTGTTGATTTTTTGAGGAGAAAGGTATCAGATTATTATACAATTTGATCATACATCAAGAATTGGAGATTCTTTTCTGTCAATTGACTGTTTTGAACTAATCATACACGAAAAATAAATATAAAGAACAAAATGAAAACTATGCCAGAGAAAAAAGCAAAGACACTTCAATGCAAATATTTGGGTGTAAAGGAATGCAAAGGGTTGAACTCTGGAAGTGTGGAAAACACATGTCAGGGACGAGAGATGACGCGAGTGTAAAGGAATTCATTCCACGTGTCAGGGAGTCCAGGTAAGCACCAATGTATGCAATCAGCATAGGTATCAGGGTCTGCTTGTTCGTCTGGAGTCAAAATTTTCCCTTGCCGAATGGTGTAGACTGAAGTGTGTGCATCTTTCCTATACTCGGAGAGAGTTGTGATGTTGAGGAAGTGAACTAAGATTTTCATATTCTGAGTTATGTTTGAGGCTATCTTAAATAGCTTCTTATCTGTTCCCACATCCAAGTTCATGGTAGCATTCAGAATTGGGCTGGTCTCCTTTGCACATTTTATCCCATCCGGATTTTTCCAATCAGAGCTCCTGTTGTTTCGTCCAACAACAATGAATTAATGACATTTATTTCCGAAGGACAACAAAAAAGCACAAGCATAGTAAGGTAACTTTAGTCAGGGCAGATGAGGGCATCCAAAGCGTGTCTTTGTACAGGGCCTCCAAAAATATAAGGTCCATTTTTTTGTAAAATCTATATAGTGTATATATAGGGTAATTATTTTTTGAAAATAGTTGATTAATTTATTTGCCCGTATGATCCAACTATTCCGGTTATCCAATCAAAGGTAAAAAATCAATTTTTCTTATCCTATTTTCATTCGTTCATTTCCGATTTTAGTTTGTTTTTTACTAATTTTATTTGTTCAAGATTGAAAAAGTGATCATTTCTCAATCTTACATTTGTTTGTCGTTTTTTGAGTTTTCTTAAGGTTGTTTTTTGGTATAGTATTGATTTAATATAAGGCCTATTTTTAGTGACTTGCACCCGGATCTCCTAATATATTGAGTCGGCTCTGACTTTAGTATCCTCTTGTACAGTGGTGTAACTAGGAGTATATATTGGGCTAGACTGGTACAAAAGCTACGCCCCTGCTTTTTAAGTATGTAAAAAGAGTTAGGATGTTTTCTTTTGGACTGAAATTTGCTGGTCTGGTCTGGTCTGTTTAAGTCTGGTCTGGTCTGGTCTGGTCTGTTTAAGTCTGGTCTGGTCTGGTCTGGTCTGGTCTGGTCTGAACTGGTCTGGTCTGGTCTGGTAAACGTCTGGTCTCTGTGTATTTTATAACTACGGAAGTCTGGTCTGGTCTGGTCTGGTCTGTTTAAGTCTGGTCTGGTCTGGTCTGGTCTGTTTAAGTCTGGTCTGTTTAAGTCTGGTCTGTTTAAGTCTGGTCTGGTCTGGTCTGGGACTGAAAACAGTCCAAAAGAAAACATCCTTACTCTGTATTTGTTTCATACGGAGTAATAATTAAGAGAGCATGTTATTCTAATTTCTGACCTTCGGCATGAACGATATAATAATCATATAATATGACAAGGACATTGTTAAAGTGTGAAAATACTACTACGTACTCCATATTAGTATATTACCTTTTCTTATAATAGAACGGTATTTTTTTTTTTAGAAATAATGATTAATATATAAGTTAAGTCCAATAGTTAAAGATAATGGACCACACTCTAACTTTTTAATAGTGACCAATGATATTAGTACTCATAGCGACACTGATTATGTTTAATTTTACACTACTATGATCATAACGTACAGTGTAAATACAACATTTTTATTTATAACTTCTATCTCAATAATAGTTTAAAAAAACATATACTCCGAGTTTTTATTTTTTTGAATGTGAGTGCTATGCTTCATTGCTCTGTATAGTGGTACACTGGTACCTATTGTGAGATGGATGGAGTGGTTGAAGTATGTTGTTTTTTAATAATATGTTTGAAATGTACATTTAGTGAAATAAATGAGGCAAATTGTATACTACTTTTTGGGAAAAATAATAAAAATACCCCAAACTTTGAAGGTTTGTGAGGTAAATACTCTGAACTTGCATATGTAATTTAAATACCCTAAACTTTAAATAAAAAGTTATTTTTGCACCTTTTTAATGCATTATTTCCTTAAAAAATGTAAGTTTATGAGGTTAATTGCATAATTTAAAATAGAAAATTAAAAGTTTTGCAATTATATAGATTGGGGGTAACATTATTTATTTCCTAATGCAAGCTTAAAATGTTAATTGTGTCTTCATGAATTCCAAAATATTTTAAATTATGCAATTAATAACGTAAACTTTACACTTTTGAAAGAAATAATAGTTGACTATTTTACTAAAATAAATTTTTATATAAAGTTTGAGATATTTAAATTACATATGCAAGTTTGGGGTATTAATCTTACACCCCTTCAAAGTTTGGGGTATTTTAATTATTTTCCCGTACTTTTTCCACAGGGATCAATTATGACTTTGCAATTAAATAATTTAAACATAAATAAGTGAGAAAATAATGATTTAGATCAATAAAATGTATGCTAGGGGTACAATACCCTCAAATTTGTGATGAATAACATAGCATTCACATGAAATGGAGTGGCATCTAAATTACCAAAGTGTGAGTGAAATTTATATCTATTTCGTCATTTAAGCAACAAGAACAAACCTATGTAGTATACATTACGAGTATATTTTATCAACCTACATAATTAGGTAATACAATAAAATAAAAGACTTACTTTCAGCTTTTAGTGCTATCTAAACATAAAAGAGAGAAATCCGAAAAGGAAGCTACTTTGTTAGAGCTAAACAAAGATATGTGACATTACCTGATATGAAGAGGAGACATGCTCATGAAAAATATTTGAGTTCGATTTGGATTCACATTTTCTTCCACCCATTTAGCCCAAGTAGATAACACCCTCCGATAAGCCACGTGCCTAGGGACATCATCATATTCTATCGAACCTTCATCGAATGATCCACGTCTGTGTCATTTAAAGAGTGTCAAAAAGCCTAAAGACTAGAAGATTTTTAATGGTATTTTACACTTGAAATTTGCCTAAAGGAGATAAATATGATAGAGACAGACTCGTTTATTGAAAAAGTACTTCTATTTTTAGTATTATGTTCATTAGTAACTTCTATTTTAACACAAATTATTTGTGTTGGAGCTTGGAAAGGAAAGTCCAAATTTCTCAAGGTCGGACGCAATTACTACTACCTTCTGATCTATTAGGATGTTTTCTTTTGGACTGAAATTTGCTGGTCTGATCTAGTCTGATCTGGTAAATGTCTGGTCTCTGTGTATTTTATAACTACGGAGATCTAGTCTGATCTGGGACTGAAAAGAGTCCAAAAAAATAATTAGTGATCACCGTTGATACTTGATAGTTGCTATTAAGAGCCCGTTATTAATTATGCTCCAACTTTAATCAAATCAGCCCTTTAGTGACAATTGCTCTAATTCCAACCAAACTAAATCATTAGTGACTCTCAAACCGACCCTAAAAAAATTTAGCCCTATAGTCTTTAGCGATATGAATCTATCCATTACTATTTGGTTAGAATTGGGGCTTAGTAAATTACTAACCCCCAATTCTAACCAAGCAAGCCCGTTAATGACCTCACTCCCTAACCCCCACTTGTAGTCATTGCTTATTTGCAACTCTATACCTTCCGTGGCAAAATTCAATCGCCACAAAGAGAGGAGAAGCGCGACGATTAGAAAAAAGGAGCACAAGAAAAAGCATGCCGATAGTGACTGTGTGGTAATGTGGGGATTCGAATTTGCAATGTTTATTTTTGTCATGGAGGGTTGCTATGGCAACGAAAATGAGAGTGGAACTGTGGAAGTGTGGCAGCTCAGTTTTGGCGAAGAGGAGAAATAACTATTGTAAAGTTTGATAGTTGACATTTTAAAATGGTTGTATTATACTCTATATAATATATGACTAAGACATTTTAGAACTGAAATTTCCTGTTTTGGTTTGATAAATGATTGGTATGTATGTATTTAATAAATATTCAAGTTTGGTTTGATCTGATCTTGTCCTGTCTGGGACTGAAAACAATCCAAAGTAAAAACATCATAAACTAGTCACATTTATCTAATAAGAAGTATGTACATGAGGTCATATGTAAGCGGAATTTGATTTTACAATCAACGATTGGATGATATTGGACTTTGAAATTCAGGTACAAGAGATCACTTCAGAAACTTTTGTTAAATAATAAAATAATTAACTAAAGTAGATATTTAAATATGAAAGTCATTAAACACATACACCAATTATCATCCAATTAATATATTCTAATAAACCTAAATAATAAAAAAAATCCTCTCATGATATTATCTCAAATTTATAAGTTTGAAAAAGTATATTCAATTTCACACTTACAAGACTTTCATGGCAAAAGTGTTCATCCACCATATGTATGTGTTGAATATGAGATAGTCCACACCTTTCCACATTTGACCGTGTTTTATGATGGATTCGGGCATAATAATCCGGTTCAAGATGCTATGCATGTTTGGATCATCCGAGTTAGATTCTACTAGAAATGGAGCCCAATAAAATTCAATTGTTACATTAAAGTCCTACAAAATTTCACACATAATGTATTAACAATAAGAATTTTCATAAACCTTATTGCAAATGTAAAGATCTAAGATGTTTTTAATTAGATTGAAATTTTCTAGTCTAATCTGGTTTGGTTGTTTTAAGTATGTCTTTATAGGACGTGAATTGATCTGCAGTTCTGGTTTAATAGATGTCTATTTTATGAATATTATACTCTTTACTACTCCCTTCATTCCTTACATCTTGGTCAAGTTTGACCTGCACGAGAATTAATAAAGTAAAAATTTTATGGTTAGTTTTGTCACTTTGTGTAAAGATGAGAGAATTAACTAAAACCATAAATTCTTTACTCTAAAGGAAAAGTGGGAAAGTTTGTGAGACAACCAAAAAACGAAGTTGTCAAAGATTTAAGGGACGAATGAAGTACTTCTTAAGTCTGATCTGGTTTAGAAGCAATCAGTCCAATTAAAAATATCTCAAGAGTACTTTATATATCTGGAAGGGAAACTTTCCACTTCTACCACTTGTCCACCAGCAGGTAAGTAATTATTATAACGGAGTAATTATTATAACGGAGTAATAAACTAAGAGCGCGTGTGCTAACTCATATTTTCAGCTTAGCACCTTTATGGAATTATGGGTCAACCTTTTTGTTAAACATGTTACATGTAATATTTGACTTCGCCCGCTGGATCGGATGTTGTAAATGTAGAGGACTTTAGTTATTTTTCCATTTAGTTTTCAACATTTTATTAATAATATACTACACACACACACACACACACACATATATATATATATATATATATATATATATATATATATATATTTTAAGTATAGTTTTCATAATTCAACATATTTGATGTTAAAAAATAGACAATTTTTCATCTTCATCTATAATTTAATCAATTTCAGCAAATTAAGTCGATTCAATCAATTTCATTGTTATCCAACGACCTCTAAATTAATATAATCTCGAATACAAATGAAAGGTATGCAATGATACTAAGCTAGTATGAAAAAATGTTGGAGGAAAGCTAAATTTGCATAATTAAAACATTCACATTTAACAAGTGATAGAAATTTAAGAGCACAATTGTCATTCAATAAAAATGTCATCTATAAATGGTCTTATCAAATTCTTAATATTTAACGGTGTGATCCTCTTGGGATAACAAAATTCAAACACATGAACCACTTTGATAAAAAATGAAATACATGAGCCTATATGAAAACGGGTCCAACCATAAGTATATTTTCCGTACTTTTTCCAAAATTAAATACTTATTGGGTATCATGATAAAGAATTAGAGGAAACCTATTATTCGAGGTTGTTTCATAGTCAAAAAAAGATTGTTATCATAAGTGATGTATTAAAAAAGCCAATAAAAGTTTGAGGAACAAAAACAAAAAAATAATTTTACAAAGACTTAAAACAAATTGTACTACTGTGTATATTTGAAGGGACCGACAACATATTTTAATGTTGTTATTAATATTGAATGTTCTTACTTGGACTTAGGATGTTTTAGTTGGACTATTTTTAGTTGGGATCGGACCAGACCAAATTTGGACAATTATAAAATACACAAAGATCAGACATTGACCAAACCATACCAGATTAGACACAACCATACAATTCCATTCCAAATAAAAACATCCTTATTAAGTCCCAAACCAGACTAAACTAGACAAAATCATTTCAGACATGACAAATCAAAATAGATCAGACTAGACTTCGATAGTTGAAAATACACAGAGATCAAACATTTATTAGATCAAACCTAAAAATTGAGTCCAAATAAAAACATGGTTAGAGAGCGGGATTTAAGCATATAGCGGGTTTCGGCCTAATTGCACGTTACCCTGTAGTGGGTCCAGCAATTCAATAGTTGCTACTTTTCGGCCCTCTTCAGATTTATTAATAGGGGTGGGCGCGGTTAGGTCCGGTCCAATATTTGGCCGAACCCATACCCGTACCATTACTATTCAAACGGTTCAGTTCGGTCTTAGACCTAAACCCATTCGGTACGGTTTCATTTTGAAACGGGACGGTATCGTGTCATACCAATACCAAACAATGCCACATTTTTCAAGTGTTTAAGAGAAAATTAAAGTTTAGTCATCCTCCAAAAATTCACACAATTTATCAATTTTCATACTCCATCCCAAATTGATATGCAAGGTCAATATTTTTTTGTCAACCAATGAAGTTAAATCCTCTTTATTGATAATTAATTCAATTTTTTAACAATTAAAATTTACGTATTCAAAAACTACATTAAAATCTCTTCAAAGTTGCAAACTCGAAATTAAATATAATTCAAATTTGACATCCCCATTTAGTGAATAAAATGAAACTATTTAACCAAGAAAAGTTAATTTTGCAAATCAATTTGGAACTGAGGTAGTATTACATAATTAATAAATTTCAGATAAACTATAGTAGTACTAATTTAAATAATTAAACCTTACATCGATCTGGTTCCAGGCTTCCTATGAACTATCAAATGCGTTGAAAGTGTGAAGGCACTAGTTAAAGTAATGATATAAATGTAAGGGCCTTTTTATTCCAATATTACTAAAATGAATGAAAAAGATAAAAATGTGATCTCGTTTTAGAAATTCTAAAAATGTGACTAACACCACCCTTAACCCTGCAGGTCAAAGTGACTCTGGTCAAAGTGACTCCGACCAAAGTGACTCGCCCCGCCGGTGACAGTGACTGCCCCACCGGCAACAGTGACTGCCCCACCGGCGACAGTGACTTTCCCACTGCCACTGTGACTGCCCCACCGCCACAGTGACTTCGGCCACTGTGACTTCCCGTCCCGGCCATAGTGACTGGCCACCGGCCAGCCACAGTACTGCCCACCCAACTCCATCACCACCGTCCACGCCGGAAACCACCACCTCCCATCGCCTGCTGCCATCGTTGGCCACCAATCCCCGCTCAATTTCAACACCAACCCCAGCGCCTCCCTAACACCAACCCCAGCCCCCCCTGCATCACCCAGACCCCAGTCAACATCCCCCACCCCTCACAACAGCCCCCAACCCCCAACCAGCCCTTGCAAAACCGCGTCACGCGACCCCCACCCTGCCGTCATAGACAGCTCCCACACAATCTGAGCTCGTCGCGGCCAGGGCACTGTCGCCGCCACTCGTCACCACCCCCCTGAGCATCCATCGCTGCACATCAGGTAACCCTAGCCGCCGCCGTAGATCTATTGAGGACGGCGAATCCAGCAGTGGCGATGGCCACCGATGATGACTGGACCAGCGGTGGCCATCGAGGAAGCCATAATTAGCGACACCTTCCATCGAGGATGACTCCTTGATCTTTGTTGCTGGTCGATGCTGCTTGCGATCGAGGATGACGACTCCTCAATATTCGTTGGTGGTCGATGCTGCTTGTTGGTCGTTGCTGGTCGATGCTGCTTGCGGTCGATGGAGGATTCGAAGGTGGAGCTATGATGGAGGAGGGTTGCGAGGTGTGGAGATGGAAGCTGAGATGGAGGGCTGTGAATTTGGGAATGGGCTGGTTACGGGGAAGAGTCTAGTCATATTTTAGGGTAAAAGAAAATAAGTCATGTTTTTTGAAATGGAAAGATAATCAGTAATATTGAGGCAATTTGTTTCTAAATTTAAATTTAATTAATTATCAATACTTCGGTCCGGTTCGGTACGGTAGCAGTTCTCATTTTATGAGAACCGGTCATGGCATTGTTTAGAACCGGTACGGTCCGGGACAAAAAATTTGAGATCTGTTTCAAACCCCGTTTTTCAGTTTGGTATCATACCGGTTCGGTTCGGTACCATGCCGGTTAAGTATTTTTGCCCACCCCTATTTATTAACACACACGGAGTACTACATACTTCGTATATTGAAAGAACTTCTACCAATTTAGTATTCTCCAATCTCCATATCCTATGCAACATTGTAATTTATACACCTGTACTCTACCTTAATTACATTCTATTTTTTTATGTATGTGAATTATTTTATTTAAAAAATATTGTTGAATTTGTCTCGTTACTAAATACTCCGTACTAAGTTTCATAATCATGTTTTTATTTTCTTTTACTAGTATAGAATTATATATAATGACCATCAAAGTTGTGTGTTGAAAAATGTAAAAAGGGAATTTTGCAACTAAAAAAGAACAAAGGAAATATTTATTATCCAAATTTCATCAATAGAGTTTTTTCTCTTCTTTGTTTTGTCAAGAGTTAACTTGAAATTTCATACTAAATCTAATAGAATAATTAATAATCATATTTTCTTGGTGTGGAGATAATACTGAAATAATTAAATATTGTTGGAGAATGAAGATTCTTTAAATTGGACTTATTTTAAAAAAATATTAATAAAATAAAACCTATTTACGCAAATATGATTATTAGTTACTACAATGTTGTGTCATAGTAACTAAAGTATAAAAATTGAACATGCGTTATTATGATTCCGTTATTACTTTAGTCACTAGTCACATTTTTAAAAATAGTTAATAGTCTTCATTTTAGTCATAAATATGTAATTATTTTCATATTAGATCTTATCATACGTCCGACCAGATCAGACTTAAATATTAGATATTTAAATTTAACAATAAAAACATACACATAAACAGATCACTATAAAACTATCAGAGCAATTCCAACTGGATTAGACTTATACCGAGTATACCTCATTGGATCAAACCAAAAAAATTGAATCCAATTAAAAAATACGGAGTATCTTTTGGAAAGCCAAATGAAAAGAGAATGACCTCAATTCTGAAAACTGATAAAGATCCAGTCTTGGTCAAGCTTTTCCTCCCTATAGGAACGACTGATTGAACCAAACAAACCATTGATTCCCATTGATTTCTATTCAAGGAATCCCCAACAAACATCATCCGCTTATTCCTCAACTTCTCAACTAACAACTTGGGATTGAACCTAAAGCAAGATCAAAATTAAGAAAAAAACATGTCAATATCAATTTCGACGTATTACTGATGAATGGATGGAGTTATATTTACTCTTCCACATTTCTTAACCATCTTTAACGGTCCATATAGAATAGGCTATTATTCTCTGTAGTTTTGTTTTTTAAATTGAATTTTAAAGGTCCTCCCCAAATTTAAATTTTTCTAATTTTTTTGTCCAAATTCTTTTAATAACTTGAAAGGGGTATAAACTTGCAGAACTTGAAATATAGAACTTGTTTTTTAACTACTTGTATATGATGTTCCTTAGTGTGAAACTATGTTGCACGGATCCAAACGCGAAACGTGAAATGTGAAACATCAACTTTTACTTAAAAAGACTTGTTTTAAAAGTTTCTAAAGAGTTTCCAAAATAGAAACACACTCTTACCCAAGAGTTTCCTGTGCCACACAGGTATGCAATGTAATTCAGACTCATTTGTATTTTAGTTAGATAAAAGAGACGAATGATAGAAATGGCACCCTAATCTTCAATCAAGATTCTTCTTCCTCTTCAAAGACTTTAGCATCTTCCTTGATCATCTATATAAATGTTCTATTCAATAGTTCTTGGGGTGTTTGGCAAATGACGTTTCAGTCAAAACTGACGGTTCGATAACTTTTGGCATTTTCAATAAGTGAAAACGTTATTTGGTAAATAGGGGTTTGACGCTAGCATTTTTTGACAGATCCACTGATATAGAAATGCTTCAAATAGGACAATTTTGGGTTAGCGTATTAATTTTTTGGCAAAATAGCAAAATTACCAAACTGTTTTTACAATCCACCAACTTATTCCGCTAGTTAAACCCGCTGATTGAATCCGCTATTGATAACCCGCTATCATAATTCGCTATCCGCTAACCGCTAATTGCCAAATGCCAAACACGCCCTTTGTGATATTTAACGTAATTAGTAGGTAATGAGATTTTTAGATAGATTTTTATTAGATTTGTTCATAATGACTAAATTTTGGTAATAATTAATAGCAATTCGATGCTACATATTCCGCATGCATATAACTCTTACTTTGGATTATACTCTCTTCCTAGCTAAAAGGGCAAAACCGTAAATTAATTGTGAATTTACATGCTTTTTTAATCCTTGTGCCGATAAAACTTTGCACTCCAATTTGGGACGGAGAGAGTATTTACAACACTTTTATTTATTCATATGTAAAAATTTGTGCTAGAATTTTTTGGTAAGTTTCTCACCTGAAATTGCACTTGTTTTTTCTGGCTTTCATTTCCTTTTTCATCTACTCTACTACTTTTTACATTTTTTTCTACCTAATTAACTTCTACTATTACACCCTTAGGTTTGGAGTATGATGTAATTTAAAAACAAGAAATTGACTTGATTAGAATAATGTGATTTTCCTAAAACTATATGTGACTTGATTAGGTCTTTGGTCCACTTCAAATTTAAAGCTTTCTAGATTTTTTCTTGACTATGCCACGATTAGTATGTTACTCCTTTTCATTGCCAGCATCACTCCTATTGAGTGAAAGTATTCACTCTTATCGAGTCAACTACCGTTTTATCTTTAAATGACCATTTTAAAAGATGAGTGCTATGGTACTTTATAAATGAGAGTATCCTACATACGTAGTAGAATATATTTGATCAATCCAAATCGTTATATTTAAATAATCCCATTCTTTTTACACACAATTTAATGAAGTGAAATTCTGCATTATTTAGCACTATTTTGCACTGTTTTAACGATAGGAAAAGGAAATAGATTTTTATTTAGGACGGGGAAGTAATATTTAAGCTATGGAATTGCAATAACAATATTTTTTGGTCAATGTAGAGAAAGACGCGGCAGTTAAGGCACTTAAGGGTTAAGGGCAGTGTAAATTTGCCTTTAAAAATTGTGTTTGGACTGTTCGTCGGTTCCCCTTCTCAATTTCATTGTTACAAACCTAAAAGTTGGCTATCGACTTTTAATTCTAGAAGAGTAGAAGTCGCATTGAATTTAATCTTACTTGGGCAAAGAACAATCTCTGGGTTGCCACCTCCAGTTCTGGTACGAAGAGTCTTTTCTTCCATTCCTTATGCAAGTGACCTGAGCTGTAAGAAACTCACATTCCGTCTCTCTATACAGAGGATGGCTCACATTATCATACACCCATTCCCCTGTAAAGAGATCACAATCTTCCGGTGGCAACTCTAAACTATTCTCAGCATCTTCATCTCCCTGCAATGGCTGCTCTGTTTCTCCTTCCTCTGTTTCCACTTTCCCAACAGAGGATGCTCTGTTTTCTAGGACTGGGCTTTCTGCGTTTGGTTTGGGCGTAGAGAATGGGAACTCGGCAATGGACTTGAAGTCCTCGCTGTACATGAAACATCCGAAGAGAAAAAACGAGCAAACCACCACAAAGATGGAGAGGTTGTTGTTTCTCCGGCCACCGGATTTCATGTTGCTTAGAAGCGCCAACGAGGGTGGGAGTAGTGGCGACGATTTCCGGGAGAAGAGGATTGGATGCATGATAAGGAAGCAGGGGAGGGCGGTCTTTGGGAATGTAAAGGGGTACGTAGAAATAGTATTCAGAGATGGAGAGGCTAATAACGTATTAAGATGGTTATTGTTGATGGCGGATTTGGTGAAGTGGGGCTTTCCATGAGGAGCATGCTTGGTTATCATGGCCTTATGGGTGGCTGTAGGGTTATTGTCTTAAAACAAAAGATACTCCCTCCCTTCCTCAATGTTTGTCCTACTTTCCTGAAATGGAAGTCCCAAAATGTTTGTCCTACTTTTTTCTTTGCTTATTTGGCAAACAAATCTTTATCAAATAGTGCAAAATAATGTCAAACAGTGTGGCTACAGTGTCAAACAGTGTCACTACAGTGTAAAGTCAAATTCATTTCCTTAATATCTGTAAAGTCTAACTAGGACAAACATTTAGGGACGGAGTTAGTACTATATTTATTAATTTTTGTGTTTAGCCTTAGAATGTATTTTTTTTATGTGTGTAACGATTAAGTAGAAGGACGGGTTTGACGCACTGATTACCGTGTTGTTTTGTGATTGAGATGCGACCTTCAAGCGTTGAGAGCGGTCTCTTTCAAAATAACAAGAGAAAGCTTGCCCTTTGTGGAATGCCAATGTGCACTGAAGTGCCCCTTTAATGTTTTACAGTTTAAGTAACACATTAGTTGGCTATACAATTATGTGAGTGAGAACCATTATGAGCGAGAAATCTAAGAGAAGGTAATGGAAGGAGGAAAACGAATGTCATACGAGGTAGAATTGAAGTTTGTGGTATAGGACTCTATGACTCTATGGGCATAATATTTCATTAAGTGTTTGGTGTAAATAATGTTGAATGAATGACGTAAATTGTTAAACTACTTGAATAATCGTTTAGAAGGAATCCCAAACTTAATATATCTATGGGGTGATATATTGATAAGTTAGGAGGATTTCATATGTACATAAAATTGTATATACTTCGTATAACGTTGGAGACTTGGATGATTGTTTGTCACACCCGATTACTTCTCTAAAAAGGAAATAAGTTCTTAGGAGCGCCTCATTTATTGCTCGAAGTCGAGATGACTCAATGGTGGAGCAAAAAATGTCATGTTAGAGGCTGAGTTTAAACAATTTGAATTGAAGACGTGACGTTTAAAATTTCAATATATGTTTTACTACTTTTTAAATATTTATTATAAGTATATTTGTATATCACAATTTTTTGGATGTGTTGAGGCTCCCTTTAGCCCTCCTTGTCTTTGACTCTCAGCTTGATCACTCGTTCTTCTCTATCGACCTTAACTTTGAATGCTCCCGTTTATTTTCGTTCCTAAATAGAGGTAGTATGATTGTTTTTATCTGCTACATATGTAGGCACTCATGCAGTCATACTCCGCATTACGAATTCAGTACTCCATTTATATATTTTAAATTCTAAAATTACATGACCAATCTTTTGAATCATTATTGAGTAATATAATAATACGTTAAAAATATAAATTGTTCAATTAATACGGACCATTCTTTTATTTCTCATATATACTTCTTTATGAAGAACTATTTTAATTTGCACAAAGTATATCAAACTTCTAAAGCATGTTTCTACGTCTTAGACAAAAGATTTATGCGCCACAAGGCCCACAAGTTTTGCAAGTTTTTGAAGATACAAGGACTAACTATTTCATAAAAGAGGAGAAGACAAAGAAGATTGATTCTAAAGCATTCTATCATATTTCGCAAGAGTATAAATGAAGAAACAAAGAAAGTTTAATTAATTTATTGTTCTATTAGACCAACAACCGAATTATACAGTTAGCACATCAACTTGTATGAGTTACTTGACATTAACGGTCCGTTTGGTAATATCAAAATCGACTAAATCGGTTGGTTCTGCTGAAATTTATGAAACTTTTGCTGAAGTGGTTGATTCTACTGATTTATGAGGAAAAAAGATGGAAAAAGGGTGAAATAAGTCCTTCTACTATTTCTAATCTGTCACTTACAAGCCCTTTGACCCGCTATAGCGGGTTATTTTTTTAAAGCTAAATTAGGAATATTGATAAATCTTACAAAAATTCATATAAATTTGAATAAATAATCTAATAATAATATAAAAAGATGTCGAATATACAAATGTCTTTAAAAATTAAAAAATATTGATTTGATATTCAGAAATTCTTTCACAATTTTTGTATACTCAGTATATTTCTTCAAATTTTAACAATTTTTTAGAATTTTAAGTATTAAAAACCTACTATTATAGGTCAAAAGCTAATTAAATGGTCAAATTGATCCATTTTGTAAAGTACACGTACTTATATCATACGTTTTTAGTACATGGGTTTAAGTGATGATTTTGAAATAGTACAAAGGTTTATTTGAACCCTTTTCAAAAAAGATTTTTCTATAAAATAATGAAAAAATTATATGTAAAATAGCTAAAATAGTCATCTACAGTAATTTTAGTCAATACAGCTAGAAAAGTAACCTCAACATTACCATTTTTTATTATTACACAATTTTGCGTGCCAAATCAAAAGTTATGTATGTGATAAAAAAGTTGACTGATAAGCTTGATAAGCTAAAAACAAGACTATCGACCATACGATTCTCACATTTTTTAAAAAAGGTAGAAATTTCTCTATTCATAGCAGAAATTTTAAAGTGCCCGCAACGTGCTCATTTTAATGAGCACGTAATTTTATCCGCACTCCGTAACATAGTACTCTGTAGCAATTTAACATAATTCTCTCAGAAAACATCAACGAACTAATCTAATACGTAGTATTAATCTGTATGAAAAGTGAAATTCCGCAGATGACACTCCATTACCTCCCATCTCGGTGGCAAAGAAAAGATCTCAAACAAAATTAAAATTGCATAGAATTCTGAATTAATAAATGAAAAAAATATTCAAAAAAATTATTGAATAAAACTTATTTACAAAAATGGAGTGTCACTTATAGTTAATATCAGTGCAAAGTTAATTATGTGTGAAAATTAAACATAAGTTACTATTCTTATAATTACTATTATAAGCATTACAGAGATCACATTTTTATTTTAGTCAAAATTTGTTAGTCACTTACCAGAGCTCCAAGCATCGACATCGGACAGCTTCTCGCTGATCCACACCGCCGCCCGCGCTTGCCGCTGCCGTTCGCGCCTGCAACGTTGTTCTTCTTCGTCTTGATGGTTCAGGGGCTCAACAACGAACGAAGCTTGGTTGACGATTCCATGGACGACGGGAGAGGCTTCGACGAAGCCTTCACCTACATACATTACCAGATTTATGGCGGCTGCAGTTCCATTTGCGACGACGGCGACCTAAATTATCATATATGCGGCTGCCTGGGGCATGCAGGGGATGAGGTTCGGACAAGGTCTTGGGCGCTGGTGGGGTCGGGTACGTAAGGTTTATGAGGCCGATTCGGCAGTAGCCGGAGCATGGGCAGAGGCGGACGGAACATGTGTGGCGGTGGTGGTCGAGGCATGGGTAATGGCCGGTCACTGCCAGGGTGGTCAATGGCCGTGTTAGTCATGATCGGATTAGTCAAGGTCGGGTTGATCATGGTCGAGTCATTATCAGATTAGTCACAATTGCTTGTTGGTCATTGGTCAGTGATTGGGTTGGTCACTGACTGAATTGGTCATAGTCACTGGTCGGATTCGTCATGGTAATTGGGTGGGTGGGTCATGGGCACTAGTTGATTTGGTCACTGGTCAGGTTGGTCACTGATCAGATTAGTCACTGCTCGAATTGCTCATTGTCACTGGTAGGAGTTTAATCTCTTTTTTAGAATTAAGATTTAATATTTTCAACGGTTTCATCTATTTTGCCTAGGAACTGAACTGGTCTAACGCCTAATTGTGATCTATTTAAATCTGACCTGATCGCAACTGAAACTAGTCCAAGTAGAACAATCATTAATTTTATTTAAGAAAGAAATAGCTATATATTAATAACTAAAATAAAAGTTGATTACAAAAATGTCATCTCTTATGTGTGATGCTTATAATAGTAATTATAAGGGAAAAGGGTCAAATCGGCCCTCGAACTTACATAAAAAGGTCAAATAAACCCTTATTAGGAGCATCTTATTCATTAAGTCTAGTTTACTCATACCAAATTTCAGCTAACAATTCAATCGGAAAGGCATTCAAATGAACTCTTGAAGATAACTGCTCTTTTAACTGCTCAGTTATATTCAAGAATTCATTTGAATGTCTTGCCGATTGAAGTTTTAGCTGAACTTTGGTATGAGTAAACTAGACTTAATGAATAAGATGCTCAAAACATTTGATCAAAAAATTCCATCGGGAACCGTCCCAAATGGCGACGGCCGGACAGAGCCTCCTATATAAGGGCTTATTTGATCTTTTTATGTAATTATAATCATACTAACTTATGTTTAATTTTCGAGCATAATTAACCTTACACTATGATATTAACTATAAGTGGTATTCCATTTTTGTAAATAAGTTTCAGTCAATAATACTTTTGAAAAACCTTTTCATTTATTAATTCAAAATTCTATGCAATTTTATTTTTTTTGGGATATTTTCTTTTCCATCGAGATGGGAGGTACTGGAGTGTGTCATCTGAGATATTTTCTCTAATAATTAATTTAGTTGAGAGAATTGTGTTAAATTTCTACGGAGTACACTACTACACTATGTTATGGAGTGTGGATAAATTTACGTGCTCCTTAAAATGAGCACGTTGCGTGCTCTTTAAAATTTCTGCTATTCATAGCGTCAAGATGTTCCATAAAGGCTTGTCTAATAAGCATCAGTAGTGGAGAGTTAAACGATGCCTCCTAATTCGGGTTACTTATCTAGAAAAGTTTGCACATTCCCTCAATGTAAATCGTCCATATTAATACATAAATTAATGTATAACACCTGAGCATTATATATTTAAAAATACATTACAGTTTTATTGAACCTTAATAAGATCGAATACCACATGTATAAACTTAAAAATATTACGGGGATGTATTATATTTGGAACTAGTGACAAAATTTTTCAAAAATACATGGATTTTATAAGTTTAGATGCATTCAATGTAGATTTTTAAAAGTCCAAAAAAGTGCAGGTGTATTCGATGTAG